GCCAGGGTGCCCCGAAGTGCCCCCCCCGGATGCTGACAGCTTCACCCCGCCTCCACCTCCTCTTTCTTGCTACCTCATCCTCACCATCCCTCCAGATCCCCCTCCCCCCCCCATCACCTTGCCTGAGGGAGAGGAAGCCGATGGGGAGGTGCCTGGGAGGGGGGGAGGGAGGGAGCCTGGGCCACCTCTCCCCCCTCCCCCCTCCCACTTCTCCACCTGACCCGGGATGCCCTCTCCAGTTCTGGGAAGTGATCAGTGATGAGCATGGCATCGACCCCACTGGCACCTACCATGGGGACAGTGACCTGCAGCTGGAGAGGATTAACGTGTACTACAACGAGGCCACAGGTAGGGCAGGGCGGCCTTCCTGCTGGCGTGGGGGTGCTGGCTGCTGGCATGGGGGTTCTGGCTAGCCGGGAGGGGAACCGGACGCTCCCCCACCCCCACCCCCGGCCTGCAGCGCCTGGCACTCACCCCAGCCTAACCCGTCCATCTGCCGATCTGCAGGGGGAAACTATGTTCCCAGAGCCGTGCTGGTGGATCTGGAGCCTGGCACCATGGACTCGGTCCGCTCTGGGCCCTTCGGCCAGATTTTTCGGCCAGACAACTTTGTGTTTGGTGAGTCACCAGCTTTGGCACACAAGGAAACAAGCCCCTTTAATCCCTTCGTCCTTCCCTAGGCCCAAGGGGGAAAAAAATCTGTCTAGCTCCAAACAGCCAATCCCAGAGTGCACAGGGGCAGCAAGGATGGAGGGGGGAGGGGCGCTGAGAAAACACCCACACTGCAGAGGGGCTCCAGGAAGACCTCTGGGAAGAGATGATTGAACTCAAAACCTGGACACTGTCCCTGAGCTGTTTTGCTCAAGGCTGGCACGTGACCACTTGGGTCACGGCTCTATGTCTTGCTCTTGGCTGGTTAGTTGGAGATAAGAATGTCACCGATGTCTCTGATTGTCAAATCTCTGTCTCCTGAGTAGCTGGGGTTATAGGCACAAACTGTCACTGCTGGGCTACCTGTACACTTTTTATGTGGGTTTTCGTGGGTTTTTTTTGTTTTTTTGGGGGGGGTTGGTGTGCAAGCACTTGTATCTTTGAACCATATCCCCAGCCTGGTTAACTATTTTGACATTGCCATTATTATTATTCAATTACTGGGGCCTAATGGGTTTCATAACTGCCTGCATGTGCTGGGTGCTGGAGGCTCACAATTAGAATACTAGCTACTTAAGAAGCTGAGATCTGGGCTGGGAATGTGACTCAGTGGTAGAGTGCTTGCCTAGCATGCACGAAGCCCTGGGTTCCATTCTGCAGTACCACATGGAAGTGGTGCTGTGGCTCCAGTGGTAGAGTGCTAGCCTTGAGCAAAAGAAGCCCAGAGACAGTGCCCAAGCCCTGAGTTCAAGCCCCAGGACTGGCAGAAGAAGAAGGAGAAGGAGAAGAGGAAGAAGAGGAGGAGCAGGAGGAAGAAGAAGAAAGAAAGGAGATCTGAGGATCATAGTTCAAAGCCAGCCTAGAGGCAGAAACGTCCATGACTTTTTTTTTTCTTTTTGTCAGTCGTGGGGCTGGAACTCTAGGCCTAGGCACTGTCCCTGAGCTCTTCAGCTCAAGGGTAGAGCTCTACCATTTGAGCCACAGGGCCACTTCCAGTTTTCTGAGTGGTTTATTGGAGATAAGAGTCTCACAGACTTTCCTGCCCCGGCTGACTTTAAACCATGATCCTCTTTATTCTTATCTCCAATGAGCCACCAGAAAACCTGAAATGGTGCTGTGGCTCCAACTGGTAGAGCTCTAGCCTTGAGCAAAAGAGCTCAAGCCTTGAGTTCAACTGACATTAAAACAAAACAAAACTGTCTGGGTGGGTGCCAGTGGCTCATGCCTGTAATCCTAGCTACTCAGGAGGCTGAGATCTGAGAATCAAGGTTCAAAGCCAGCCCTGGCAGGAAAGTCTGTGAGACTCTTATCTCCAATGAACCACCAGAAAACCAGAAGTCGTGCTGTGACTCAAGGGGTAGAGCCCTAGGCCTAGAGCTGAAGAGCTGAGCAACAGCACCCAGGCCCAGAGTTCAAGCCCCACGATCGACCAAAATAAAGTCTGTGAGGCTCTTTTTTTCCAACTAATTACCAAAAATCCATAAGTGGAGCTGTGATTCAAGTGGTAGAACACCAGCCTTAAGGGGAAACAAACAGAAAAAAAAAACCCTCATGTCCCTCCACCTCCTCAGGCCAATCTGGAGCTGGGAACAACTGGGCCAAGGGTCACTACACAGAGGGCGCGGAGCTGGTGGACGCCGTCCTGGACGTGGTACGGAAGGAGGCGGAGAGCTGTGACTGCCTGCAGGGCTTCCAGCTGACCCACTCGCTGGGCGGTGGCACGGGCTCGGGCATGGGCACCCTGCTCATCAGCAAGATCCGCGAGGAGTTCCCAGATCGCATCATGAACACCTTCAGCGTGGTGCCCTCACCCAAGGTGTCCGATACGGTGGTGGAGCCCTACAACGCCACCCTCTCGGTGCACCAGCTGGTGGAGAACACCGATGAGACATACTGCATTGACAATGAGGCCCTGTACGACATCTGCTTCCGCACCCTCAAGCTGACCACGCCCACCTATGGGGACCTCAACCACCTGGTGTCGGCCACCATGAGCGGGGTCACCACCTGCCTGCGCTTCCCCGGCCAGCTCAATGCTGACCTGCGCAAGCTGGCCGTGAACATGGTGCCCTTCCCCCGCCTGCACTTCTTCATGCCAGGCTTTGCCCCCCTGACCAGCAGGGGCAGCCAGCAGTACCGGGCCCTGACCGTGCCCGAGCTCACCCAGCAGATGTTCGACGCCAAGAACATGATGGCCGCGTGTGACCCTCGCCACGGCCGCTACCTGACGGTGGCTGCCGTGTTCCGGGGCCGCATGTCCATGAAGGAGGTGGACGAGCAGATGCTGAGCGTGCAGAGCAAGAACAGCAGCTACTTCGTGGAGTGGATCCCCAACAACGTGAAGACGGCCGTGTGCGACATCCCCCCGCGTGGCCTGAAGATGGCCGCCACCTTCATCGGCAACAGCACGGCCATCCAGGAGCTCTTCAAGCGCATCTCGGAGCAGTTCACGGCCATGTTCCGCCGCAAGGCCTTCCTGCACTGGTACACCGGCGAGGGCATGGACGAGATGGAGTTCACCGAGGCCGAGAGCAACATGAATGACCTGGTGTCCGAGTATCAGCAGTACCAGGATGCCACCGCCGAGGAGGGCGAGTTTGAGGAAGAGGCCGAGGAGGAGGTGGCCTAGGGCCCTGGACGCCCCCACCCACTTCATGCAAGGCTTTGACCCCCACATTCTCCTCCCTCCTGGCCTAACTCACTTCTGACCCCCAAGATCCCAAGCACACCCCTTTATCTCCACCCTGTGGTCACTTGAGCACTGACCCTGGCTTGGCCATTGACCCTTGAACCCTGCTTTATCTCCAAGCCCTCTGGAGCTCTTCCGATGGGGAGCTGTGAACCCCAGTTCCCCTCATCTGAATCTGCAAACCCTTTAAATACCATGATTCCCCTGTCCCCTGGGAAACCCCCTCAAACCCATTATAAATGTAGGCCTAGAAGTCCCAGCTTGCTTTTAATTTTTTTTAACTTTTGGTCCCTCTCTCTGAAGCCTCCTTCAGCTGGGTTTCCCATTAGCTCTCATCCCTTCTCACTCCAGGAGCACTGATGGAGAAAGAGAGAGAAAGGTTTGGAGCCTAGGATAGCTCTCTCCTCTGCTCCCCCCCCTTGCCTCACCTCCCCCTCCCCCATCAATAAATTCTTGCCTTGACATGTTTCTGCAGAGTTCATTTATTTATTTACTTACTTTGTGCCAGTACTGGGACTTGAATGAATTCAGGGCCTGGGTGCTATCCCTGAGTTTGTGTGCTCAAGGCTAGCACTCTTATCACCTGAGCCACAGCTCCACTTCCAGCTTCTTGATGGTTCATTGGAGAGAAGCGTGTTACAGACTTTTCTGCCCAGGTTGGCTTTGAACCTCCATCCACAGACCTCAACCTCCTGAGCAGTTAGGATTGCAGGCGTGAGCCACCAGCACTTGGCTACATAGTTCTTTACGTGATTTTGTTTTGTTTTTTTGAAATCAAGTTTCACTATGTAACCTGGGCTGGCATTGAACTCTCCACCCTCCTGAGGACTGGAATTACAGACCGGTGCTGCCATGCCCAGCTGCAGAGGTCATATTCATTGACATAAGCAGCAGTCCAGGGCTTTTTCTTGCAGAGTGCAGGTGAGCACTGAAAAGTACTAAGCTAAGGGGCGGAGATGTTAGGTAGCTCAAGCATTGCCCCTCACCCACCCTAAGCTATGAGGCCCCTCAGACTTGCCTCCCTTGACCTGCTGTATGCACCCACCACTTCGCCGCTATGTGTGTAGGAATGCAGGGAGGGAGGGAGCCTAGGAGCCAAGGTGCCTGGGTCCCCTCCGGTCCCCTAGGTCTCTATCTCTTGGGCTCCCTCTGGTGGTCTTGATGGGTACTGCCCCACATAGGAAAGGACCAAAGCAAAGAAGAAAGGTTACAAAAAGAGGAAGCATTTTTGGCAGGCTTTGGAGTCCTCAGCTCTAGCCATGGGACTAAGAAAGAAGAGGCAAGGACCTAGTATGACACCGGGGCGAGGGGACATCGTGGCCCATCCTGGCAGAATGAGGGTGAAGATCTGGCCTCTGAACCCCGCCCCACTTTTTACCTAACCGGTTGCAGACAAGGCTAGGAAGCAGAGGTGCCTGGGTTTCTCACAGTGGGTGGGGGCAGAAGCCTCCATCCGTCCGGGGACGTCACCCGAGAAACTTCCTCTGTCAGCCACACAGGAAGCTGAGCCGGCTCAGGGCCTAGTTCTGAGCAAGGACCCCCTGGGGAAAGGGTCCAGCCGGGCCAGCCCTGCAGGGACCATGGGCTCCAGAGCTGAGTAAGAGATGACCCCTTCCCTCAACCTTTGCAGCAAGATTCCCAGGCCTGGGCTGGGAACGAGGGGAGCCCGGAGGAAAGGGGGGGACGGTGGAGGCAGGCTCCGGAGGTGCAGCGAGTCACAGGGGCAGACAGCAACAGGGAGGCCAAGGCTGCCCTTGGATCCCCTCCCCTCTTCTCTCCCTCCTTTTCTGGCCCTGGATTTGTGTGGGTGGGAGCTGTCACTAGGAATGCACGTCCCCCAGTGGGGGTGGACTTCTTGGCTTTCTGAGTCGTATCTTCCGGGGATCAGCAGGATGGGTGATGAGGGGCAAGGGTGGGCGTGTGTCTGCAGGATCAGGGGGTCCAGCATCACTAGTGGGCATTAAGGAGAAATGCAGAAACCCCCAGAGTCAGGAGTGTGTGTTCAGTCAGTCCCAAACGTGGGTCTGGCGCTCTCTCTCTCTCTCTCTCTCTCTCTCTCTCTCTCTCTCTCTCTGCCTAAGTCCCAGCATTCTCTGTGAATCTGTGATGTGGGAGGCAGGGGAGGAAGCCGAGGTTATATGGGATTGGAGAGGAAAGGACCAGGGCACCTTCCTATGGGAAGAGCTAGGGGATGAGTTCCCCCCCCCCGCCCACTCCCAGAAACTCATGAAATCTGACACAAGTTACACAAACAAGAGTGCTCACATACAGCCATGCACGAGAAGAGAGAAATGGAGCCAGGTGCCGGCTGCGGCTCACACCTGTCATCCCACCTACTCAGGAGGCTGAGATCTGAGGATCTTGGTTCAAAGCCCAGGCAGAAAAGCCTGTGAAACTCTTGTCTCTAATTAACTAGCAAAAAGCCAGAAGTGGAGTTTGTGGCTCAAGTGGTAGAGTGCTAGCCTGAAGCAAAAAAAAAAAAAAAAAAGATCAGGGACAGTGCCCAGACCCTGAGTTCAAGCTCCAGGACCAGGATACAAAGGGGTTTGTGAGACATGATTTACCCACCTACTTGCTCTGCAACTCCTACTCTAGGCCTGCCCTTCAACATTACAGAGTGAGTGGTTTCACAGAGAGAGAGAGAGAGAGAGAGAGAGAGAGAGAGAACCCTCTGGACCCTCAAATACTCTCTCTGCTTGCATCCCACAGAACAGATCCCCCCACGGTGTTTGACTGGTTCTTCGAAGCAGCTTGTCCTGTCTCCCTGCAGGATGGTGAGCGCGGGGAGGGGGGGGAGTCTGGGGAGACACGGGGTGGGGGAATAGTGAGCCGAATACTCTCTCCTCCCTACAGATCCCCCCATCCTTCGGCAGTTTCCTCCAGACTTCAGGGACCAGGTATTTGGGCAGGCCCACAGAGGGAAGGGGTTCTGTGCCTTGGGCCTACAGCCTAGGGCTGAGTGTCCCCACACACACACCCTACCCCAAGAGACAACTGTGCTTCTTACCCCCTGCAGGATGCCATGCGGATAGTGCCCAAATTCTGCTTCCCTTTCGATGTGGAAAGGTATGGAGGGGAGCAGAGATCTGAATACCGCATTGATGCAATATTCAATGACTCCAGAAACCTGGAGACCCAAGAGATCCAGAGAATTGGACTCTGACAACTAGGGACCCACACACAAAGAGACACAAGGGTGGAAGGACCCAAAAACCCCAGGGAATCAGGGACCAGAACTTCAAGCATCCAAGAACTCAGGGGCTCATCAGAACCCAAGTCTCAGGGGCCAGTGGACTCTGAGACTTGGGGACCCACTGAGCCAAAGTTCCAAAGGCCCAGGAATCAAAGAACCTAAAACCTCAGACGACTTAGGGACCCAGGTAGTCAGGATTTCAGGGATCAGGTGCTTGAAACCCCAATAATCAAGTACCTGGACTCAGACTCCCTGCCCCAGGGAGCAGCCTGTAGACACAATAGTAGAGGCCTGTGGTAAGGGCTACTGAGAGTGAGGATGAGGAAGATGAACCTCAAGTCTCTGAGAGCCTTCTCCCCCTCCAGGGAGCCCCCCAGCGCCGCGGTCCAGCACTTCACCTTTGCCCTCACCGACCTGGGGGGCAATCGCAGATTCGGGTTTTGCCGCCTGCGCGCTGGGGCCCGGAGCTGCCTCTGCATTCTCAGGTCTAAGATTCAGTGTATGGGGTGGGGGTAGGAAAGGGACGTGAGGTCTCGGATGGGGATCTTGGAAATGTGGCCAAGGCCTGGGTCACAGGTCACTTCAGGGAACCTGTCTCTTCTCTCTACAGCCACCTGCCATGGTTTGAGGTGTTCTACAAGATACTGAACACCGTGGGGGACCTGCTGGCCCAAGACCAAGTGAGACCAACTCTCCTCTCAGTCCTGTGGGAGGCCCCACCTAATCCCCCCCCACACACACACTCAGACAAACCTGAGCCCCTCAACTCCTTCCAGGTCCACCACCCAGCCTGAAAATCAGGGTCTCAACCTCACTTCTTGCTCACCCCCCCCCTCCCCCAGGTCCCTGAGGCAGAAGAACTTCTCCTAAACCTTCTGCAACGGCCTCCATCTGGGCCCCGGGACTCTGTGGGACTGGAGCTGGTGAGTAGCCCCAAACTGTAGGGTGGATGGGAGTTGTGGCCCAACCCTGGGGTACAACCTGGACCTGCTCCTCCCCCCCCCCCGCAGGGCAGTGGCTGCCCCGCTTTCCGCACCTGGGAACAGCAGGATGGGGAGCAGAGCTAGGGACCCTAGAAGGCTGGGCACACCCGAGTGAAGCCAACACTCCTTCCCCCCCCCACCTAATGATTCCCACCCCCTTACCCCCGTCTCCACCAGCTTTCCTGCTTTGTGGCTCCAGACTCCGACTGCCTGCCATCTATTCCTGAGAATGTAAGTGGGACCCCAGAGAGCATGACAGCTGTTGGTCACCCTGCCCAGAGCCTCCACCGACACCCCCTCTTTCCTCCCTTAGAGGAACTTAACAGAGCTGGTGGTGGCGATGACGGATGAGAACATCCTGGGACTGTTCGCTGCGCTCCTGGCTGAGCGAAGAGTCCTGCTCACGGCCAGCAAGCTCAGCACGGTGAGGGACCGGGAAGAGGGGGTGATGCCTAGCTCTAATCCTAGCTGGTGAGGGCCAGAGAGCAACATCCGGCTCCTCTCGGCACACAGCTATGGGGAGAATCTGAGCAAGCTACAAAGTAGCTTCTTGTCTTTGCAAGAGCGGAGCCTAGACTCCACCCACTGTGGGATACAGCAGGCTTGGCTCCGCCCTCCCGGAAAGGAAACCTGGGAGAGCTAAACCATAGCCCCACCCACCCAGAGGGAGGAGGGAGTGGGTGGGGCTTGAGTGCTGGCTCCACCCCCGAGGGGCGGGACCTGGGCCGGCTGAATCTTAGCTCCATCCCTTAGAGGGATGGATTAGAACGAGCAGAATTCTAGCTCCACCCCCTCCAAAGCACAGACTGCCCCTACCCCAGTAGGCCCGGGGAATTGATTCCAGGACCCCCACAGATACCAGCCTTAACTGATCTCTTGTTAAATTTTAAAATAAAAAAAAAAAGTCTTTGTTTGAATGGAAGCCAGGTCCCAGCCTCAAAGCAAAGCCCTGGTCTCTATTTTCAGTAAGGCTAAGAAAGAAATGTCCACAGGCTATTTATAAGACCTGACACATTGTAAAGGTTAACCCAAAGTTGTTACTTTGTTGTTTAGGGACTAAAGAAAAGACAAGGGGGGGGGGGACTCTTTCTGCACGGATGTTATTATTTTTTTCACTGTAATTATTTTTGATCCGGAGCTGGTTGACTGGGCGCAAGCGGATACAGAAGACTGATTTGTAATATAGCCAAATGTTCCTCAAAGGTCGTGAGGTTATCCCAATCGCGTTGTGGGGGGAGATGGGGGAGAGGAAGAAGAGGATAGGAAATTGTAAGAGTTTTGAACCACTGTTCCAGAAGTGGGAGGAGGGGGTCAGGAAGTTGTGAGTCTAGACTCTGACTCCACGACCCGCCTCCCCCCATGTCACCAGCTCACATCCTGCGTCCATGCATCCTGTGCTCTCCTGTACCCCATGCGCTGGGAGCACGTGCTGATCCCCACGCTGCCCCCGCACCTGCTGGATTACTGCTGGTGAGGGATGGGAGGGTGGGGTGGGAGGGATGGGAGGGTGGGGTGGGAGCTGCGGGGGAGGGGGGAGGGGCGGGGCCTGAACGACCCCACCCTCAGGCCCCGCCCCGCACCCCGCAGCGCGCCTATGCCCTATCTCATTGGAGTGCACGCCAGTCTTGTCGAGGTGAGCATCCCACCCACCCACCCAAAATAGCAGGAGCTGGGGGGGAGATCTCCCTCCCTCCACAGCCCCAGGTACCCGCCCCTTCCAGCTCTGTCCCCCCTCTTGCCCCGTAGAGAGTGTTAGACAAAGCTCTGGAAGACGTGGTGGTGATGAACGTGGACTCCAATACCTTGCAGACGCCCTTTGACGACGTCCAGGCGCTGCCCCCAGACGTGGTCAGTGTGAACCCCTTCCCACAGGCCTACTGCCCGACGCAGAGGCCCGCACCTGCCCCACTCAGTTGCCCCCCCCCCGCCTTGTCCTGCAGGTGTCTCTGCTGAGGCTGAGGCTGAGGAAGGTGGCGCTGAGCCCTGGGGAAGGGGTGTCCCGCCTCTTCCTCAAAGCCCAGGCCCTGCTCTTCGGGGGGTACCGCGATGCACTCGTCTGCAGCCCGGTGAGCAACCAGGCTGGATGCAAAAGGATGGGTCTCCTGATCCCTGAAGTGCTTACAGTATTAACCACACCTAGCACGTCTGCATGTCTGGAGGGTTTTACTTGGTGCTTCAGCTCATCTTTAAAACTGGATCCTTTGGGTTGATGGTGTGCGTATGTGTGTGTATGTGTGTGTATGTGCGTGATGTGTGTGTGTGTACTGGGGCAGGCCTGCGGGCTGTCCCCTACCTTTTTCCTCTCAAGGCTGGTGCTCTACCACCTGAATCACACTCCTGCCTCTAGCCTTTTGCTGGTTAATTGGAGATAACAGTCTCACCAACTTTTCTGCTCTGGCTGGCTTCAAACGTTGACCCTCAGGTCTCAGACTTCTACCTAGCTAGGATGCCAGGCGTGAGTTACCAGTGTCAGGTGCATTTTCTATATTTTACTTTCACTAGGATTTGAACTCATGGCCTCTGGGCTCTCCTCAGACAGGCTTCTCCTTTTGCTCCCCACCATCTGTTCTCCCTGTGGGGACCAAGGGTTAGAGTTGGTTACTTGAGTCAGAGACCTCAGCCACCTCCCTAGAGAGAAAATCTCAAGTCCCCCCAAGAGGCCCTGCCTAGGGTCAGATACCCAGCGTGGCCAAGTAAAGGACTCTATGGGGCTGGGAAGGTGGTTTAGTGGTAGAGTGCTTGCCTAGCATGTGTGAAGCCCTGGGTTCGATTCCTCAGTACCACAAACACAGAAAAAGCCAGAAGTGGTGTTGTGGCTCAAGTGGTAGAGTGCTAGCCTTGAGCAAAAAGAAGCTCAGGGACGGTGCCCAGGCCCTGAGTTCAAGCCCCTGAACTAGAAGAGAGAGGGGGGTAGGGAGGGAGAGAAAGAAGGAAAGAAAGAAAGAGAGAGAGAGAGAGAAAAGAACTCTATGACAGAATACAGGAGACAGCTGGGGTGGGAGGGGAGACAGAGACAGAAAGAGAGAGAGAGAGAAAGAGAGAGAGAGAGCAGGCAGGAGGGCCCACCAGGGAGTTCAGGATGCGGATCTTTCGCCAGGGCCAGCCTGTAACCTTCAATGAGGAAGCTTTCCTGGCCCAAAAGCCTGGGGCGCCCTTGCAGGCCTTCCACCGGAGGGCTGTGCACCTGCAGCTGTTCAAGCAGGTGAGTCTGACCCCTGAGGGTGAAGCGGGGACTTGAGACAGGTGTTTGGGCGGGAGGATGGAGAGTGGGATCCCTGGAAGCAGGGCTTTGTGGGGCGTGGCCAGGATGAGGGTTGGGCCCTGTGGGCGGGGCGGCGGGGCGGGGCGGGGCCGGAGGTCGGAGCCAGGGAGCTGCTGGGCTGGTGTGGGCGGGACGTTGGTGGGGAGGGTGTGGCAGGCGAGGCTAGAACCCATTCCTGATCATCCCCTAGGGGCAAAACTAGGGCAGATTTGGGGGATTTTTGAGGGCCATGTGCTGGAATCTTATACCCTAGGGTTGCAAAAACTCCACTCCTAGGTTTGTTCTGTGCCAGTCCTAGGGCTTGAACTCAGTGCCTGGGCATGTCCCTGAGCTTTATTTGCTGCAGGCTGGCACTCTACCACTTGAGCCACAGCTCTACTTCTGGCTTTTTGGTAGTTAATGGGAGATAAGAGTCTCACCGAGCTGGGCGCTGGTGGCTCACGCCTGTAATATCCTAGACACTCAGAAGGCTGAGATCTGAGGATCACGGTTCAAAGCCAGTCCGGGTAGGAAAGTCCTGTGAGACTCTTATCTCCAATTTACCACCAGAAAACTGATCGTGGTGCTGTGGCTCAAGTGGTAGAGGGCTCGCCTTGAGCTGAAGAGCTCAGGGACAGTGCCCAGGCCCAGAGTTCAGGCCCCATGACCAACCCCCCCCCAAAAAAAAAATCTCACCGACTTTCCTGCCCAGGCTGGTTTCACTGCAATCCTCAGACCTCTCAGCCTCCTGAGTAGCTAGGATTACAGTCATGAGCCACCAGTGCCTGGCTAACTTGTAGTTTTTTGAGAGACAAAAATGGCTTATAGTGGAGCACAATTGGCTCAAGCCTATAATCCTAGAGGCTGAGATTTGAGGATCATGGCTTAAAAGCCAGCCTGGGCAGCCAAGTCCATGAGCCTTTCATCTCCAATTCACCAACCAATTGCCAAAAGTGGAACAGAGGTTCAAATGGTAGAACACTAGCCTTGAGCAAATAAAGCTCAGGGACAGAGCCCAGGCCCTAAATTCAAGTCCCAAACTAAGCAGTCATCCTTATGGATCTATAAGGGACTTAAGCGGAGGTGTGTCCTCACTGTACCTCCCTTTTGGAAAGAGGAGGACTTGGGATCCATTCCTAGAAGGAAGGTGAGACTCCATGCTTTCCCTGCAAGGCTTGGTTCTAAGGTCCCTGAAGATGGGACTTTGTATTCCAGGATTATAAGGGTGGAGAGGGGGGAGGTGTCTGGAGGAAGGGCAGAGTTCAGCCTCTGGGTGCCTATGAGAGGCAATGTCTGATCTCTGAGGACAGATCTTGGCTAGGGGGATGGACAAGACAGGAAGAGAATAGGATTTGTGGTGCCTAGGGTGGAGAGTCCAGATTCCTGGGTCCTTGGAGTGGGGTCTCTGGAGGGGCCAGGGATCCCATCTGTGCATTCGGAGGTGGGGGAGGGTCAGAGGGGAATCCAACTCAGTCTTCCCTGTATTGTTTGATGATCCTTCTATGGCTCCCAGTTCATTGAAGCCAGGCTGGAGAAGCTCAATACAGGACAGGGGTTCTCAGACGCATTTGAGCAGGAGATTACTTGCTGTGGGGCTTCCTCAGGTGAGTCTGGATCCTGGCCCCCCCTCTCCAGAGCACCCCACCCCATCGGCACCTGTAGTGACCACCTTGCTCTCTCCCCCCATCCCAGGCACCCTGCGCTCCTACCAGATCTGGGCAGACAACCTGAAGGTAATAAATGCCCCCTTCACTACAAGGTTCTACTCCTTCATGGAGGTGAGGGAACTGAGAGGGAGAGGGATTTTTCCAGTGACACACAGCCTGGGGCGTGGAGTCTGGGGTCTGGCCCAGGTGATCTCCAAGATCCCAAGCCTCTTCCCTTTGGTGTTTTCCTCCCCAGAAAGGTGGCGGCGCTCTCCTGCATTCTGTGAGATCCAAAACCCAACCAGCCGTCAGGAACATGTACCGATCGGTGAGGTTGGGCTGGACAGGCCAAGCTTGCTAGGGTGATGAGGGGAGGGGACATAGGTCATTTCAGTCCCAGCAGACATAGGAAGCACACACACTAAGCACGCACACATAACTGCGCCAGCAGTTATTGACAATTACGTTTATTTTCCATTTGCCGTGCCAGAATCATTATTACCCATTTAAAATTGACAGCCAAGCCAGGTGCAGTGGTACACACCTATAATTCCAGTTATTCAGGAGGAAGAGCCTGGGATGATCATAGTTTGAGGCCAGTTTGGGAATTTAAAAAAGTTAGGAAGACTCCATCCCAACTATCAAGTTGGCCTTGGTGGCTCACACTTGTGTTGGGAAAAAAAAAAAGTGAGACCACATCTGAAAAAATAATGAAAGCAAAAAGGGCTAAGGGCATAACTAAGATGGTACAGTGCCTATCGAGCAAGAGTGAATTCTTGAGTTCAAACCCTATACTGCCAAGGAATAAAAATATCACTGACACTCAAAACTTATCCATAAGTATTTTTTCTTTCCCAAATATATCCCCTCTTTTCTCCTTTGTGTGTGTCCATGCCCAAATATTTCCTGGCCCTTTTTTCAGATCAGAATTGTCCACTTGTAGCCAGCTGCTGATGGCTCACACCTGTAATCCTAGCTACTCAAAAGGCTGAGATCTAAAGATCTCAGTTCAAAGCCAGCCAGGGCAGGAAAGTCTATGAGACTCTTATCTCCATTAATCTCCAAAAAAACTGGAAATGGAGCCATGGCTCAAATGGTACCTCTAGCCTTGAGCAAAAAGAGCTCCGGGGCAGTGCCAGGCCCTGAGTTCAAGCCCACAAATGACCCCCCCCCAAAAAAAACTGTTCATTTGAGCCGAGTGCTAATGCCTCACTCCTATAACCCTAGCTACTCAGGAGACTGAGGTCTGGGAATGGAGGGTCAAAGCCAAACCAAGAGACTCATCTCTAGTTAATCAACAAAAAGACAGAATTGGTGGTGTGGCTCAAGTGGTACAGCATCACCCTTTTTTTTTTTAACTGTATTTTTTTTGTCTTTTCTTTTTTGGTACTGGGGATTTAACCCAGGACGTTGCGCTTGCTAGGCAAGCGCTTTGCCACTGAGCTACATCCCAGCCCGCAGCATCAGCCTTGAGCAGAAAAAGCCAAGCAAGAATGCAAGACCCTGAGTTCAAGTCCTAGTCCTGGCACATGCACATATATGTACATGCACACACACACAAACACACACATACCCTTTCCATTTAATTTATTCTTCCTTGAGTGTGAGCCGATGATGCACTTTTACAAGGTTTTTGCCACTCCCTATTTTATGCAGGGTGCTTCCCTCCATAATGCTCCTTTGGCATGTAGTAAAAGGGGCAAAAGGTAGCACTGCCCAGGCGTCAATGGCTCATACCTGTAATTCTAGCTACTCAAGAGTCTGAGATCTGAGGATCTTGGTTCAACGCCAGCCTGGGCAGGAAAAAGTCTGTGGAGCCGTGGCTCAAAAGTGGTAGAGCATTAACCTTGAGCAACAAATAGCTCAGGGACTGCACCCAGGCCTTGAGTTCAAGCCCCACAACTGACCTTGCCCCCCAAGAAAAGTGAGTCCAGGGGGTGATGACTATTTGGGGGACACAGGAAGTAGGGCAAATTACAGCTGTCCCCAGAACACAGCTGATCTCAAGGGTACAGTGTCCACTTCATTCCTTCCCCACTTTCCCACAGGCCAAGAGCGGCTTGAAGGGGGTCCAGAGCCTGCTGATGTACAAGGTAAGTGGGGGGGGGCACAGCCAATGCCTGAAGGAGGAGGTAAAGGGGGTGGGCTCAGCCCGAAGTGTTCACTTCCTAGGATGGGGATTCTGGCCTGCAGAGGGTGGGGTCCCTGAGAGTCCCACACCACCCCAACCATCTACGGCAGAAGCGCCCGCCTGTCACCCAGCACTTCAGACAAGTAAGAGTAACCCCCCTTGTCCCCCCCACACCCTCCCCAACCCCCCACTCTGCTGAGAAATACCTTGCTTCTTTTCTCACCCCAACACCTGCAACCCTCCTTTAGGAAGTCCCAGCCTCCCCCCCCATCCTCCATCCCAAATTCACCTCCCTACTCCTGTCTGCAGAGTCTGCCTGGACACCCCAGCGGATTCCAGATGGCAGAGGAACCTTCGGGACCCCTGGGGGACAGGTAGCACCTGGGTGTATGAGGGGGTCGATGGGAAGCAGAACAGGACAGGATTGATGGAAAAGGCCACTTTACTAGGGCTGGGGTGGAGAGGGGAACGGGGGACCCGCAGGCAATGTATGATCAGTTATTTATTATCTGAAATTGCCCCTCCTCCACCCAGGATATCTCCCCTGGGCCTCGAGGACCCCCAAGAAACTCTGGATAGCAGCTTTTTGGGGTCTGGAGAAGAACTAGATTTGCTGAGTGAGATTTTCGACAGTCTGAGTGTAGAAACCAAGACGGCAGGTGGCTTGAGACCCAGCCAGAGTTTACACTGTTGGCACCGAGGGAATTCAGACAGCTGCTTCAGCCTGGTGAGATGCCTTCCTCCCTCCCATGCTGCCCCCCCTCCAACCCCCTCCCCCTCATCTAAACATCCCCCACTGCCTCCTCCAGCCCAACCTGCCAGGAAGATGGCCACCTGAGGAAGAGGGGCCGCCAGAGCCCCAGCCCCTGTCCCTGCCTGGGGACCCGCCATCCTTGCCCAACACCCCGACTTCAGAAGGGACCTGCTCTCAGGTGCTCTCTCCTCTCCAGCCCTCCACCACTTCTGCAGACCTAGAATGTTCTCCGCCTCTCTCTGAGGGACCTAGAGCCCCAGGACACCTGCATCCTTGGCACTCCACAGCACCTACCCAACCCAACCTTCCAGAGAGCCCTGGGTTTCTGGCCCCCACAAAGCCAAACTCTGGTACTATCTGCAGATCCCAATCTGTTGATTCTTCAGCTCTCAGTTTTCTAGAGGACTCCAGAACTCTGCCTCTACAGTGCTCACTAAGACCTAAGGATCCTGGGGCCCCCACTTTCCCTGCCTGTCCCACCAATAAGAAGCAAGAGCCCCAGGCCCGGAGGCAGACTCGAATTGCTGATCTTAAGAAGCATTTTGAAAGTTAAGAATCAGGGGTCTGGGGGAGACCCCGCCCCCACCCCGCCAGTGCCCCAGTCTCTTAATAAAGCCACAAAGAACCCAGTGAGTTTATCTGAGACTTTCTCTCTTGGCCTGGTCGGACACCCCTCCCACCCACCTCCTTCCAGCAGTGATTTCTCCCTAGCTCCAAGCACCCCCTCTTCCAGGAAGTCCTCCGAGATATCTCGACCACCTCACAGTGCATCCCGGCTTCATCTAAAGCTAAGGTTTCCCACCAGCTCAAAAAGAAAGAACTTTATTATGTCTCACTACCAATTTCATATAAATATATAAAAAGTGAGCAGCCACCCCTTTCCTTGCCCTCAAAGGCAGAGTCATTGAAGCACCATCTTCCTTCCTATTCTTAAGTACTGGGTGAGTCAGGGAGGGTGCTTGGTTTCCCCAAGATCACACAGCAAGGAAGGGTAGCTGGGGATGAAGGAGGGAAGGGCCCTAGATGGGCAGACAGCCCCGCATCGGCTCCTTGGAGTTCTGTGGGGCCCCGGCCTCCGCTGCGTGGGAGAACTGAAAGAAAGGATAAGGGGTTTGGTGGGCTTGCACGTAGAGCAGCCACAAAATCCACAGCACAGTGAAGACAGTGAGGTTAGCGGGGACGCAGCCCAGGCTCCCCCCAGCTGCATGCAGCATTAGTCCAAGGCAGCAGAGCATGCTGGAGAGCCCGCCAGGCGACAGCAACCAGGTCCCCCCAAGTTCTCCGAAGGCACCAGAGGCTCGTGTGTCGGCTGTGGTGTACCCGAGGGCGCAGCTAGCTGGGCTGGGCAGTCCTGGGTGGCGGTGGTGACTGTGGCTAGGCCAGGGGCCTCGGCGGATCAGATGAGCCGCTCCTCCGGCGGCAGCTTGAGGTTGGGGGGTGGTGGCGCGCGGGCACCCACCTGCTCTTCGCTGCTGGGCCGATAGGTGCCCTCCGTCTGTCTCTTCTCTCGGAGTTTCCGAACCAGCAAGACAAGCGCCACAACCAGAAGCAGGGCACCCAGGAGAGAGAAGACCACGATGATGGCAGTGGTGGCCTCTTGAGACTGCAGGAGAGGGACAGGTGTCACCCACTTGGGTCTCAGGACACTTAACCACCCCCATCCGGTCACACCTGCAGCTCTGAAATACACACACACACACACACACACACACACACACATTTTGGGTGGGAGTTCCTAATCTATTTGGGGGTGCCATGTCTGGGACTCACACACACACCACACTACACACACACACACACCTGCTTATCAAACCCCTTTGAATAAGCTGCCTTCTCCCCCCCCCTCCCCTCCCCTTCTCTCCCCTCCCTCCTCCCTGCAACTCACCAGGCCTCCACTGGGGCTGGGGACAGTGGGGGCAGGGCTGCTGGTGTCATTTGTGGGAGAAGTGTCTGTGGAAGAGGAAGAGGGCAAATCAATCCCCATCGATCCTTCTGGCCCCCTGTGGCCATCTGCACCTTCCTAGGGTACACCCCCACTTCCCTTGGCTCTTGGCATGGAGATTCCAGGAGTTCCCTCCTCCCCCAACCTCACCCCTGAGGTTTCCTCTCGGGTCACCCCCTGCTCAGAAAGCCCAGCAGGGTGCAACTGGGCTGTGGAGTTGGGGTTATTCTAACAGATTAACAGACGGGTGTCCAGAGGCCTAGCCACCCCCCCCCCCACACACACACACACTACTCCTCAGGACCCAGCGCCCTGAAGGACGGGGCGGATCCCATCCCAGAGCTCCCAGGAGTGTCTGAGTTACCCCTCCCCCCCCCCAGGCTCCCGAAACTGCAAAGGAACAACTGAAGGACAAGGGGGGGGGCGGGCCCACCGTCCGACCCGTCCAACCCGGGCGGGCTGCCGGCTCCAGGCAGGGCTCGAACCCTCAAGAGGCTCAGGTACCCGGAAACCCCCCCCACACACACACACCTCTCCCCAAAACCCAGCCCACAAATTCCACTCCAAGGAACGCAGGAATTCTGCTTAGACCAACCCCGCGCTGTCGCTGAGAATTCACTCTCCAGTCCGTGACTCTGGCTGCCTCCCAGGTGCCCGGCAACTCCTCCACCCCACCTCCGGCAGAGACAGACAGACAGACAGACAGACACACAAAAAGAGAGACATAAGAGGAGACAGAGAGAGACCGACAGAGAGAGAGAGGGACAGAGACAGAGCGCCCCGGAACCTGCCCCCCCCTCCCCGGGCCGGTACCTACTTTGCCCCCAGGCTCGGCCCCGTCGGGCGGGCAGCAGCGCCAGGCCGAGCGCCAAAAGCAGCCCCAGGGCCGGGGTCGCCATAGGC